CCGTCCTTCCTTTCTTGACCACGCGCTGTAAATAAACCATTTTGCATTGTAATTACTCGACTTGAATCAACTTGACTTTACGGTTTATTTTAAGGAAAAAAGAAAATAAAAGAAAAAAGAAAAAGAAAAGGGTGCATATTTTTTGGCAAAAATAATGTACATATTTTTAGGGAACCAAGTATTATTATTTTATTTATTGGAGGATTAATATCCGACTTACCCCCCTAAAAAAAATGACGGAAAAACGCGCACACAAGACTCTTAAACATGGTCAAAGTATGTGTATTGGTGTGTGCGTTGAGTATTAGTGACATGCTTGGACTCTTGTGTAAGACCATGGGACTTAATGCCTACACTCGATAATTTACTTAAATAAATACTGTTGACAGCAAAAATTAACCGGATTAAATAGAAAACTGATTAATTAGACCCTAGGTGATGACTCGACCAATAATTCGAACTGTCGGCCAAGCAACAGGACTGGCGTCGCACTGTGGAGCTGGGCACCAGACGACAGAGTTGTTGTCAGGCGCTACACTCCATAATGTGGCGCTACAACTCAGATCTTGGCGCCAATATTGAAGCTTCGATCTGGGACTGTTTTCGGTTTTATAAGTCAATCGGGGTATGCCTTAAGTCGTACTAGGTCAATTCCGATTAAAATATTAGACTTCATTGACTTAAATTAATTAATTAATTAATTAGGCAAAGTTCTTTAAGTCATTAATTTATTTAGTCTCAACACAAGTCAACAAACGGTTAAGAGAAACATAGAATATATATGCACAAAAAATAATGCACAATTAGTCAAGTAGACACAATATGATGCAATGCGTTTTCCATCTAACCGTGGCTCTAGTTCTCTAACGTTCGGGATATGGTTTAGTTAATAGAGGGTCCATTGTTAATTGTCCGGATGCACCGCGCGGAAGCCTAACCGTGAAGGGTTGGCGCGAGTGGATGGGACACCGCGAGTTTAGAAAAAACTCGCTTCCATGGTTTGGTGAATTCAACATCTCGGATGTACCCTTTGTTGCACGGAGCGTTCAATCGGGTAGATGGAGCATGAATTCCCAGAGGGTTATGTCCATATGTAGAACACATATGGGTTTCAGAAAAGTGAGAAAAAATTCAATCAGGAAGTAGGATCGAGCAAACAATACGAAAAACCAGTCGAAATTAGAACGCATATTTGTGGCTTAGTATTGGGGGAAATTGGCGCCAGCAAACAGAGACTGGCGCCAGCTTTTAACTGTAGCGCCTGGCGCTAATACGGGCGTCTGGCGCTACGGTTAAAATTTTGGCGCCAAGCCTTGGCCCCTGACACTACTTCCCACATGCCTCAGCAGCTTTCTGTGCTCAATAAAATTTTCCTGTTTCACGCGGTGTTATTTCAGTCCTAGTTGTGGAAGACATTCCTCAAATTTCCTACATATAAAATCCTATGTTTTAACTCATTACGGATGGTCTTTCCAATGAGATCTTTTTTACGCAAATGACAATAATGTTAATCAAAATTACGCACATGAAATATTTAGACTTTTCGAGTCTCATCCACTCATTCTAAATCATTGCCAAAACAAATTCAGGAATTAAAATAGAGATCCTTCCCAGCGGAGTCACCAAACAACTGTAGGGAATAATTTCAAGCTTTAATCCCACTAGCTTGAAACCCACTGTGATCATACACTAAAGTACGGTGGCGTCCAAAAGGGAAGAAGATAGAGCAAAAGAGTCGCCAACAAGTTTTTTAGGAACTTGTAAACCGTTCATAGGATGAAGGTTACACTCCTTAACGATCAAAGAGATCGTCAACTCCATTAGGTCTAGAACCAAATAAGGGTTCGGGGATGAAGGTACAAATCCAACCTAAAAGAGATTGAACCTGCCCTAATAATAGGCCTCTACTTTATTCTGATCGTATTCATGTGCGCTTTCTGACTAACATGCAATCAATAGGATTAACCCTAAACCTATTTATCTATGTTGGTTGAATTTAATGCACAAATAAACTATTATTGGCGATCACTTGAAATTATAATCAAATTAACCCTAACAAGATTATTAATTAACTTATTAAGCATGATTACAAGTACCAAATTCTCTTTAAACATGCATAAAAAGCGTGATAAAGCAATAAATAAAAATATCAAGCAACAAGCAACATAATAATCATAACAATAATCATGAATATTAATTATAATAATATCATCATAGACAAAATAATCATCATCAGAATAATAATAACAATAATATTCATAATCATCATAAATTATAACAATTATAATAATTAACATGGTCATGTTAATATTAAAGCATAATAAAAATAGCAAGATCCTAAGCATGATACTAACAAGATTAATAACAAACCCTAGCATGTCACTAAGCAATAAAAATCAAATCTTTAACCCTAACATGATACCAACAATCATAAATATTAGGAAGAGAATAAAAGGCATCATAGCAATCATATTTAATATATTTGATATTATAACCTTTTCCCTAAACATGATACTAGGAATATTATAATAACAATGTAATCATGATTTCTACATTATAATATCAATTAAAACCATTAAAGTACTTACTTTGATGCCTCGTACCTCTTTCTAATAACAAAATACACACGTTAGTAACTTCAAGGAAAATAATAAACAAACAATTAAATTAAATAATTGAAAGAGAGATTTGGGACCAAACCCTCAGAAATTAAAACCTTTCACATCTAGGGCGAAGGCAACTTCGAATATGGCTAGGTGTTTCTAGATCTTGTGAATGCGGAATTTTGTATTTAAAAACAAAGTTTAGAAGAAAAAGATGAATGACTAAGAGAATACTAAAGAATTAATGATTGCGAATGAAAACTGATTGTTGATGAATGTAGATGATTGAAAACGGAGTTTTTAATACGATATTTATAGAGAAAATCAGCCAAAAAGATAAAATAAACAAAACAGAGTCTGACGCACAAAAAACAGAGTTGGCGCAAACCCTGGCTAACTGGCGCCAGGCACCAACACTAGCGCCAGGCGCCAAAGCCTGGGGTCAGGCGCCAAGCCTGATTTTAACGCGTTTTCGAAAATCAGATAAGTTTGTCATACTGGAGGATAAAATTATATAATTTCCTCGAAAATGCTATTTGATTTTAATTAAAACTTTGAAAAGTCAAAAGTCAATTTATCAATGCTAATTGAATTAGGAATGAAAAAAACCTTCTAGAAGAATCTAGAAGACTAAAACCATTAGTAATTGCATTAGGAATGATAAATCATTTAGGCCCTCCCCTAGATCATTGGGCCGTATATAAGGCTCAAACCGGGCCAGTTTGGTAAATTGGCCATAATTTCCTCAATATTCATCGGAATTGGGCTTATAATATATCGTTGGAAAGCTTTTATCAAGACCCATCCAACTACACTACTATTGGACCCATATGATTGACCAACCAAACTGGATTGACTATTTTCTTAAAATAAGTTTTCAAAAACAGAGAGAAGAGAAAAGAAATTAAAACTTTCCGCAACACTAGACTTTCCACACTTTCGCTTCATTCAATTATGATTCGTCGTGAAAGGTACTCATCACCGGGTTTGGTTTTTTGGGAGACACAAATGGGTTTCTACAATCATCAAATAATTCTCTTCTTCCTCTTTAGCCTAAACACTAGTCTTCCCATTCTTTCACTATTTCTTCCTTTAAGCACTCCAAGGAGTCCATACAATACCTGAATTTCTATACTCTAACCAAGGTCTGATAGGTAGAATTAACTGAGGGTGTGGACTAAATCAACTCTAATTTTAATTTAATTTAATTTCCATTTACTTTATATTTTTATTGAAGTTACTAACAATTTATTCATGATGTAGCAATTTAAAGGAACGCGCGGAATGTAAGTAATTAATTAATTTAATTACTCTTATTTTATTTTAATATTGCTAGCATCATGATTAGGTTATTTTATATTTTATTTGACTAACGCTATTATTGTTGAATTGCTTCCAATATTAATGTTTATTCTATTATTGTTATGATCACCATATTGCATGTTTAAAGGGAATATGTAATTGAAAATCACGCCTAATAAGATAATTTGGACAACCGGTTTAGGTTCCTTTTTAATCTTGTTATTTAATTAAGTGATTACTAATATTTTAGAATAATTTGTTGCATTAATATTCAACCAATTTAGCTTAATAATAGATTGGAGCGAATTGAATATTTTGTTTGTATGCCTTTGAGATCGCAGGAATCACTTTTCACTATAAGAATCGAGTAGAGGCCAATACGGGCGAATGTGACTCCATGACTCACTTCGTACCATCATCCCCGATCCTCCTTTCGTGGTTCCGAACCATATGGAGTTAGTATTCTCATGGATTATGAATGGGGTGTAACCTTCACGGGTCAATCGTTGTTGCCTTTGTTGTCCCTTTATCGTGGTTGCCTTAAATGATCCGTGAACAGTTTACAAGTTCCTTAAAACTTGTTGGCGACTGCCTACTTTCCTTGTCCCTAATCGTATTATGTCAATTCCCACTTCCTAAGAGTGCCAAGCATATTCACACATGCTTTTAACGTAGGCGCACTTCGAACGACGCCTACACTAGTATTTACGATACAGAACAATAATTGCCTAGACATCTTTGATCATTAGAAGAATCAATGTCAAGTAAATGTTCTTGTTACAGAATCAAATTGCCAAGTACATTTGTTTTTCTTACATGGTACAGGAACGAAGCGTCGATGCTCAACATCAGAACCTTTTCAAAAATCTTACTTCGGTTTCTTAAATTCAAGTTATAAGATGGTATTAGGCCTTGGAGACTTGGGAGTACATCTCATTTCTCAAGGATGTTAGGCATATACATTACTACATCACATATATGTATTAACTCACAAAGATGGGCTCGATATTGAGGATTCAAAGCAAGATATCAGACCTTTCGTCTCTTGTTTGGTAATGTTGCAGTTGGCAAGTACTCTTCTAATGCAGAAAGCTTTTAGAGTACAGAACACAGGGCTTTGTGTATACACTTTGCGAATTTGTCTATTTTATCATCACCATTGTCATCTTTGTGGCCAGTGACAATAAGAACATTCTTTACCCTGGCCTCTAAGGTAGAAATCTCCGCCTTAGCTATAGTGAGTTCAAGATCATTGGTGGCTTGCCTCATATCTAGGATGAGTTCTAGCTTATAACGACAACATACTGAAACCTTGAATGGGAAAGAGCCATCTGCTATGTCTTCGTCACTATATGGCTCAACTACAACTTCATCAACATCTGTTGGTACGAGTAGCCCCTTGGAAGCCTCGTATGCTTGCTTTTTTAGCACTCTGACTTGGGCAATTACTTTAGCTAGCAGTGTTGCTTTATCAATTTGAAGGGTCATATATTGATGCAAAATTAATAGGCATTTCAAAATCATAGAACATTGTAATGTACATACTTAAAGGCAAGATAATCACCAAGAAGACGTTCAATAAGTCTTGTATGCAATGAGTTATGAGTGAATTGTTATACAACAGATCAGTCACCCTACTTTAATGCCAGTATGCAACATCTCGGTCTAGTATCTCTTGTCTGAGCCACACAAAATAAAGTTTGCAAAACATCATAGCATGAGAATACAATGCTAACAAGGCAGAAAATAGACGTGTTTTAAAAATTTTCACCTAGGGGTTAACAATGTTAACTTGTTGATCTATATCTAATCAAATCAGCAAAATTAAAAATAGTTTCAAACTTTTAGAGTACTCTTAAATCTCAATCCATCTATGTGAACTTAAAACAAAGCCTGTCACAACTTGTTCAACAATTCCTTATTCTAAGAGATGGCTGTGAAAGCCATCAAAATCTAGCGGTTTCAAGTTTTCACCTATACGTCATCCCAAATATCATACTCCCAACTTCATTTCACAAACCCTAATTTTTCGATTTAAGCGAAACCCCCAAATTGATAACCTAAACCCTAATTACACTAATCAATTCAATTTGAAAAAGGTAAGATTGTAGAAATTTATACCTAATTTGCGAAATTTGTTTAATTGAAATCGAAATAAGGGAGAGGAACACAAGGAAAAACAGGGGAATTTGAGGGAAGAGGGAGGGAAAACGCAAAAGTGGGACCTATACTGACGTCATTTGTAAAAGTGGTATGAGTTTAATAAGTTTTGGACAAAACTAGGTGGTAAGATTTTTTAAAAAAAAACTTGAGGTGGTAATGTCAATTTTGACTACTATACATGGTGGTAATTTTCAAATTTTCCTTAAACTTATTTAAAGCAATCATGAAGGGTATTACATTTTATTTGTAGGGATCATTCTAAAGCTGCATTGAAGAAGCGTGGTCCCAAGCTTGAACCTAAACGAAGTCGAGCTGTTAGGTTTGAAATTCTATTGTATTTATTTCGCAAAAAGTATTGTTTGGATAGAGTATTTGTTGTTTGATCATAGAATATTTTTGTTAAGAAACAGAGCATTTCTGGTTTGATGCAGAATATTCTTGTCTGGAATTAGCTTATTGTTGTTGAAATTATATTGTTGTAATTTGATAATAGATTATTTTTGTGAGAATTTACAATTACTTTGTTAGGAATTAGATTATTTGTATCAGAAATTAGCTTATTCTGTGATAAATCATACTTGCAAATTAGATTTTGTCTTGAATTAGATTATTTTATTTTGATAATAGAATATGCTTGTCAAGAATTAGATTATTTTGGTCAGAAATTAAGTTATTTTTTTCAGGAGTTTAATTTGTATTAGTTAGGAATAAGATTGTTTCAATTCATTCAGAAATTAGATTACTTTTTTTTTTTAATTAGATTACTTAATAAGATATATATGTGTGATTCCATTATTAAAAAATTAGACTACTTTTATCAAGAATAAAATAGCTTTTGTTTGACAATACAACATTTTTGTCAGGAATTAGCTTATTATATTGTGTGATATTACGTTATTTTTGTTTGATAATAGATTATAATTGTCAGGGTTTACCTTAATTTTGTCAGCTATTATATTATTTCTATCAAAAATTTGATTTTCCTTGTCTGGAATTAGATTATTTTATTGTTAGGGATAAGATAATTTTTGTCAGGAATAAGATGTTTTAGTCAGTTTATAATTTTAATGTGATTTTATACTTTTCAATTTTTCAGTTCTATTACTGAAGATGATATTTCAGACATACAAGTTGGTACTAAATCCAGTACAAATCAACTTTGTCTAGCTTTGGAAGATCTTAGTGAGCAACAAAAGAAGGATGTTATAGAGATTTGTTTTGGTGGTTTGCTACATCTTAATTTGAGGAATAACATTAGCCATCAGTTATACAACTATGTAGTTACTCATTATAATCCTAAGGCTAGAAATATGATTGTTGGTAAAAAGGAACATGCCATTTATATAGAAAGTTGTGATATTGGTGATATGTTGGGTATTCCTTACACTAATAAACCCGTGAAAGAAATTTCTAAAATGAAGAAAGGATTTAATCTTGATGATGCTTTGAAGTCAAAGTGGAGACAATTTTAGGGTTTAGATAATGTTGTTGAATCTGAAAAAGCTAGTGAAAGTAAGAAAAGAAAATCTGGAGATACTAAGAAAAAAAACATATGTCAATTTTGACACTTATGAAGAGTTGTTTGAGAAATTTAGAGATGGGGGTTATGAATTCAAGAGACTTTTTGTTCTTTTTTTTTATATCCCATTTTTTGGCTCCAATGGGTGATAAGTCTCCAAACTTTAACATTATTAAATCTTTAGAAGATGTTCGTTTCATAAAGACTTACAACTAGGCTGGTTACATGATGGATTGTATATATATTTGAATCAATATAAGAATTTCAAGCTATTTTTCTTAAGAGGCAGGTAGATGGGGGAGGGAAAACTAAATCAAAACAAATAAATGGTTGTCTTATTGCATTTGTTATTGCCTTTTTGCAAAAGTTTGATTTTGGGACCACCTTAGATAGGAAGCTAATTATAATGAATTAGACTTGTGAAATTCTGAATGAAAGGATTAAAGTTGCTGCAAAAAATATGGACTATGGTACTTTGAAGTTATATCCTCATACCATTCCAAAACAGTATGCTAGCAAAAGTGATGAGGATTTTTTTAAAGCTTTCCAGCTTGAGAGCATTGAGTTTAAGCTTGAAGATAGTGATGAAGAAGATTTGGATCTAAAGAAGGAAGGTCCTGGTGTACAACCTGCTTGCTTTAATTTCAACCGATGATGAAATTGACAAGATGGATATTGATGTAAGTTTAAAATCTCATCTTTTGATTAATTTAAGTTTATTATTCTGCTTTTAAATTTTTGTTTGATAACAATTTAATTTAGTTAGGAAATGTATTAGGTTAGTCAGGAATTATTTAATTTTAGTCAGACATTAAGTTATTTTTGTCAGGAATTAAATTATATCCATCAAGTCTTGAATAAGCTTTTTATAAAAAAAAATGTCCATCATTGTAGTCTGATAATGTATAACCTCTACATATGTACTTAAATTTTTATCCTTGTCATATTTGTAATAATCTATAAAAAAACTAAAATATAAATCATACTTACAAATTAGATTTTCTTTGTCTTGATAATAGAATATGTTTGTCAAGAATTATATAATTTTAGTCAGACATTAAGTTATTTTTGTCAGGAATTAAATTATATCCATCAGGTCTTGAATAAGCTTTTTATAAAAAAATGTCCATCATTGCAGTCTGATACTGTATAACCTGCTACATATGTACTTAAATTTTTATCCTTGCCATATTTGTAAAAATCTATATATAAAAAAAATAAAATATAAATCATACTTACAAATTAGATTTTCTTTGTCTTGATTATATAATATGTTTGACAGGAATTAGATAAGTTTTGTCAGAAATTAAGTTATTTTTCTCAACTAGTCAGGAATAAGATTGTTTCAGTATGAAATTAGGTTACTTTTATCAAGAATAAGAATATTTCAGTTAGGAATTAAGTTATTTTTGTAGGGAAATAAATTATACTCCCTCCGTTTTTAAATACTTGCTCCATTTCTATTTTTTGCACTATTCATTTGTCCTAATTTGACTAATGTTTGTGATTTATACATAAGAAAAAATATAGTCTTGTGGGTACTTGATGAAATCATCTCAATGAATAGATTATTAATTTGCAATTGTTAGAATTTATACTTACTGATAATTAAAGATATTAGTGATCAAAGATAAGCATCGGCATGCGTGTCCAAGAGGAATGAAGCAAGTATTTAAAAACGGAGGGAGTATCAGTCAAGAATAAGATTGTTTCAGACAGAAATTAGATTACTTCTATCAGGAATAAGAATTTTTCAATCAGGAATTAGAATATTTCAGTTAGGCTTCATATTACGTCAGTGATTATATTATAGGTTAGATACACAGTATCCCTAAGGTATTCACTTTTCCTAGCTGGGTCCACCCATTTTCAAAATTTCACGATGTAACCCTAAGGTACCTTTAATGTGTACGATGTGTATACGAGTCAAGCCATAAACTACGTTACCCAAGCTGAGGTCAATTTCCTTGGACACATCATTGGCGTTGGCCGAGTCAAAATGGACCCAAAGAATATTGAAGCCATTCGAGAGTGGATTGTTCCAAAGAATGCTTCGAAGCTCGTTCCTTCCTCGGGCTAGCGAACTACTACCAAAGATTCATCAGAGGGTACTCAACAATTGCAAGCCCCTTCACGGAATTGTTGAAAAAGGATCTAAAATGGGAGTGGAGCGACGTCCACTCAACCGCAATCCAGAAACTTAAAGATGCAATGATGAGACAACCAGTGTTAGCTCTTCCAGACACCGCCAAGCCATTTGAGGGTGAGGCGGATAGGTCGGATTTTTCTCTAGGAGGAGCCTTACTCCAAGAGGGCCACCCATAGCCTTTGAAAGCAGGAAGTTGAAGTCAGCTGAGCGCAAATACGTCGCCCTAAAGAAGGAATTATTGGCCGGCCATTGTGCACTGTGTGCGAGGGTGGAGGTATTACTTGCTAGGGTCTAGATTCATCGTTCGCACATACAACACTGCCGCGAGCCACTTTATCTCTCAAGCCAACTTGACTAGAAGACAAGTGTTGTGTCTATTTTCCCTAAGCGGTCAATACATCTTTAGTAGCTGACGCCAGCTTGTTAGTAGTGCTAGCTAGTCCAGTATAACTAGCTTGTAACCGTTCAAAGGAAGTCAAAGCATATTAATAAAATATTGGTCAAAGGATAAATTAGTTATCAACTTATCATAGTCAATAAAAGAGCCCAGAAAAAATATTTCAAAGTTAGCTCCTAAATAAATGGATCCATTATCTCCACTTGCTTAACCAACTCAAAGGAAGCTTGATGGCCAAGGTCAAAGTGGATCCTAAGATC